ATATTTATAATATATTATTTATTACTTACTTTAACAAACCCAACAAAAAGATACGAATGTGTGATAGAAAGTGAATTGGCGTTAATTGGTAAATATTATTGGCTGCACAGCGTTAAAGGTCAAGGAGTCTACATAAATCCTTGCCAAAAGCTGGATTTTGTTGTATCTTTAAGAGACTTAATTCCACATTTTATTGTAAAACGCAATATAAACTTTTAGTTTTTTATTAGAAACTTACACAAATATTTTTATTTTATAAACTCTTTTCTAAAGCAAGTTTTCTACTCAATATGTACATATGTCTTAAAATATATATTTTATAAAATACAACTCTACGCACACACAACCACTATATATTTTCAATTCCAAATCACACATCTTTATGCTTAGTATAATTCATATGTTAAGCCTAAGTTAGCTTTTAAGCTCAGCACACGCCACACAACTAGCTTTAAACTTCATCTTTACTAACTTACTTGCACAATTGCACACATTTCTAATCATAAATACAATATTTTACATAATCACTTAACGCATAACTGCATTTTAATTGAAAACACTGAAATGTATGATAAAATGGCTGTCTAAAAAGCTTTTTTACTACTAAGAATTGATTTCGAAAGCTTTTGCAGCTTTTTAACGCATTTCATGCAGCATTCATTTTGGCTTAAAAATATATAATTTTAAATATTTTATTTCAAATTATGTATATAACTAATGAACAGATTACTTTATATTCAATAACTTCAAACCTTTATTTGTATACTTTATGTGAAGAATTTCCTCGATGAAATTATTTTTGAGTTTCACTTTTATATGTTCACACAACATTTTCTTACCTGGTCAGGTATTTAGAAAACACAACAGAACTTATTGCATCTTAGATTACAAAAGTTGGAAACTACATGGTGCAGTGCGCTTTGAAAGCTTTCAGTGACCGGTTTTTCGAAAAATCAGCCGCTTACTCTATTCTTACTCTTCCTTCACTACCACTATATTTCAAACATACTAAATATAGATCTCAGTTAAAAGTTATAAAACTAAGATCGTATGTAAATTTTCCACCACTATCTAATTTATAAGAAAGCTTTTAGTGAAATCAGTTAAAAACCATGTAAATTGGTGAAAGTTCAGAATCACTCTAAATGTTGCAGAAGCTGTCGCATCAAATTCCAATCTTTCAGGAAGCGAAACAATATCGTTTAACCTTTTACTGGCAGCTCTGTGTGAAGAAGAAACTTTCACTGAAACCACATAGCAATATTTAAGTTACAATATCAAAAATTAACTCTTGTTTTTAAATGATTTGGAAACTTTTTACTGTTACCATTTTTTTTTTAAATATAAAGATTTAGTCATTATTGAACAAGCTGTTTCAAAAAAGCTGGTATTTTAAACATACATGCTCATTAGTACAAAGTTGCTTATAATCATATTTAATATATCACAGATTGTCAGAATACATTTTTGATTATTGTAATAACTTCTCAAGGTCTTTCAAAACAAAGAGCACCTATAAGATATCAGGTATTTTAGATTAGAATCAGGATAAGTGAAAGCTTTAAATATTCCTTCAAATCACACAAGTATTCATAAATCAGATGCGATGAAATATTGGATATAGAAGTTAATTAAGTGTTAAATTAATGTTTTTTGACTAATTAAAACCATAAAAAATTTACAGTTAACACACCTGCACTCACAGACATTTATATTTTATTCATAATAATTTTACACATAAAATCTCTTAATAAATTCAAAGTACTTAATACAATAACGAGAACAAACAAGAAAACCAACAAAAATGTGTTTCTTTTTTCTTTTATTTTTTTCATTTCGTATTCGTACTTCTTAATTTCCTGTTATCACGCGCGCGTCCTACTCGGCACTCATAAATGTATGCTTCGTTGAATGATGGTCTGCGGACAAAATTGTGCACGCACGCAAACACATGCACACTTTTTATAAATTTTCAAACATTTACACCTACTTAACACACACACATGCACTTATGTGGACTGATGACTCGGACTGCAACAAAATAAAAAAACATTTAACAATAAATTATCTATAAAAAATTATGTTCGAAATTTACTTTT